AACTGAATTCTCTTTCTTCCAATGATAGGCCTAAAATAAACTATGTAGAAGTCATTGAAGTGTCTCTGTGGCATTTTCATGCTGAAAGGAACCTCCAGGACCTGGAGAATATTATGCTAAGCAAAATAAGCCAGTCAGAAAAAGACAATATCACATGACCTCACTGATATGTGGAACCTAATGAACAAAATAAACAAAAAAGATCTAGAGACATTAAAGCATTCAACAGATTGACATATTTCAGAGGGAAGGGGGAGGCACAGGAAGAGATTAAGCAATGAATTTATATGCATATATGCATAACCCATGGACAGACAATATATATAGTGCAGAGAAGGCCTGGGGAGGGAACAGGAGCAGGGGGGTCAATATGGGTGGAAAAGGGGGCATCTGTAATACTTTCAGCAATAAAGATAAAAAATTTTAAAGGAACATTTTATTTTAGAATAAAAAAAAAAGGAGAGGACCTCCAGAGGTCATCTAGCTTGTCCCGATCTTCAGCCAGAATTCTCTCTAATACTGAATATCGCTATTCAGTGATCTGCAGTAAGAAAGCTTTTAAAGATCCCTCGGGTTGGTCAAAAAATAGCTAATACTGGCCTGATTCATAGAAGAGCATTATACATATGTCAAAATAGCCACCTTCATCAAGGGAGACATCCATCATCAGGGTTAACGGCCAGTAGTAGCTAAAAAAAAAAAAAAAAAAAAAGCTTTATTTTCTCTAAGAAAAGGGCAGTAGATTAAGGAAATGACCAAGCCTCTTGGTACTCTTTTGTTTAGGTGTACATTTGAATGCTTATCAAAAAGGAAACATTGTCTTGTCAAAGACCACTGCAGGGGAAACCGGAGGTGGCTGTAAGCAAGCTGATCACAACTCCTTTAACAAGTCCTTTCACACAGCTACAGAGCTCAGAGGGGAGGATGTTGTTTCAAACAAGATCTGATTCGCATCAAGTTAGGAAGGGCAGATGGCAAAACATAAGCATAATATTGACAGGCCTGCTTTTTAAGTGATATCTTTTCCCGCTTATCAGCTGAGTTTGTTAGAGCTGACAATCTTATTTCTTCAACTCCATTAGACTGTGAAAGAGTACAAAGGACAGGAATTTCATTATAATTTCAATATTCTAAGACAATTAATCACATTGCTGTTTTATAAGGAAAGTTTTATAATCCTCTACAATCATTAGTTCTCTAAATTATTGGATTTGAGGCACTACCCTAAGAATCTAGATACCCTAGCTAAAAAGAAGAGCTTAGGTTCTTATCTGGATTATTTGGGGCTTTACACCTTTCAGTTGAATTATACAGAGAACTTAAAGATACAGCTACAGCTATCTATATAGTGAGGAAAATGACCTGCCCTAACAATTGTCCCAAGTATCTACTGGATTTTGGGTATTAAAATTACATTTTTTTCAAATAATATTTCTGTAAGGTTACATAAAAACTTGGTCAACCACAGGTGCCTTCAGGATTGGGAACTGGATGGAAATAAGGTTAGAGAGAGTTGTGTGTGTGTTTTGTGTTTTTTTAACCACATACCCTCATGCCAAGTTTCAAGCTCTGCTTGTACTTCTTTCTGTGACTTCACTTGAAAGTACTTAATTTCAAAAACAGAAAGCACCTCTGTGCTATCTCTTGTTAGGCCAGATGCTCAGTCTGGGTTACAAAAGTGGAAAGCTCTGACTACTGGCGTCTCCAAGCCTCTTTAAAATACTTGACTTTGGAAATAGGAATTTCGACACTGAGAACTTTTGATGAGCAGCTGAGTACACTAATCAACTAGCAAAGTCTTCACGTCACCTTTCCTCTTCCTTTTGTAAGACCAGGAGACAAAAATACAGCAACTCCCTGCAGTGTTTCCTTGGCCTTATAACATTCCTACAGGGAGCACCTACTCTACAGGTTAATGTGCAGTCTCCGTATCTGCCATAAAACTAGGGCACCTAAGGTAAGGAATTCCTAGGTTAGCTGATATTTGGCAGAGTAGTATTTTTTTCCTCCCTTAACCTGTTCAGATAATTATCCCAAACTTGTTTGTGTATCCAACCTTTAAGAAGTGTTATTTTTTGAAGTTATCAACCTCAACAAATTTCCATAGCAGAATCAAGAAATTCCAAATAGAAGAAACCGAATCAACTTGAAAGAAGATAAAAATGAGAGTAAGGAAAAGCAGAGAGTAGTATATTCTGTAATTTTTATTATAAAACAGTTCAAACCTTTTACATGCTATGACATTAAATGTCATATATGTTCATTTCAAGCAAACCTTTTTAAAAATATACATACTGTATATATTTACATTCAAGTTTGAGTAACTGGAATCAAGGTTTAGTTCAGGTTCTAATCTTTACCCACCTTGTGGCTTTGTTCAGCTACTAACTAAACAGCGATTGTATCTTCACTCAGGCACATGGAGAGGTAGAAACTGCTTCTTAAAGAAAAACGAAACTGGAGTGCAAATGTGAAGATCATCATTGAAGCAGCTTAGCTACATCAGGGAAGCTCTAACTAGCTTTGGTCATCTCAAGAAGCTGAATACAGGTAGCCTTGTCCTTTAAATTAAAACCAGAAAAACTTTGGGTAGACGCTCTTTGGAGCACATTAGGGGGTTGCTAGAGCTCTGCAACTACTGCACTGCCACTCCGCACCCAGGAATTGCATCTGACTAAGGCAACATAGCAGCAGGGTTGGGCTGGCAGCTAGGCACCTTCTCCCTGATAAGACACAGATAAAACACATATGAGTGGCTGAAGAGACCTCCAATTAGTATCTGTACACCCACCGCCTGGAACTCAGAAGTCGACTAAGATACTTCCTTTCCCAAGTGAAACCTCTCTTTCTGCACAGGCCCACTTCCACCCCAAACTGAGCTGGTACGTCTAGGCAGGGGTGGGCTGGCCTATGACTTCTGCAGGCCAAGTTTCCTCAGCCTCAAGACTAAATCTCATGAGGGCTCTTGGACCTGAGAAGGGCTCCCTAGGTTCTTGCCTGAGAAGGTAAGTTGGAGGGAAGCCACAGAGGTGGCCGAGGGCAAAAGCCCTTCTCTTTCTCTTTTCTTCTGTTTCATCCTGCGGTTCTGGAACCAGATTTTGACTTGGGTGTCATTCAACTGCAAGGAGTTGGCTATCTCGATGCGTCGGGCTCGAGTTAAGTACTTATTGAAATGAAACTCCTTCTCCAGTTCTGTCAGTTGCTTGGTGCTGAAATTCGTGCGGATCGCGCTGGAGGGGCTAGCGGCTCCATACTCGGCGAGTTTGCCTGTAACATGAAGACAGATCGTCAGCAGGGGCGAGAGGGCACGGAGACCCAACACCGGGGAGCAGGAGGGCTACAGTTAGCACGTACAGTTAGAATCAAGTCACAGCGCAGCCTTCCCGGTCTCCGCGGACAGAGCTGTGCCTGGGGAATGCTCCACGGAGCGAGCCCCGTCCTGCACTTTCCGCCACGCCTGGCACTTTGCGAGCGTGTGGCCGGGGCGCGCTCGTTAGGCTTCTCCTGCTTTCACAACACCTGGGAACGCGTTTCCTCCCTAGACCCCAACCCGCCGTCTAGAGGAACCGCTCCAAGGTGTCCCTAGCGCAATTCCGCGGAGGGGGCTCCGTCCCCCCAACCCAGGCGCGTCCGTCCAAGACTCGAGTACTCACTTTTCTTGGGGGCGTTCCTCTTCACTTTCATCCACTCGAAGGTGCTGAGAGCGGCGGGGAGGCCGGACGCTGGGGAGGCGGACTTGGGGCAGGCTCCGGGGGCCGGGGACGCGGTCTGGAAGGCCCCGGGGAGGCCGTCGGCGGGCTCTTTGAGACCTGCCGGGAAGGGGCCGGGCTCGCCGAAG